GGTGGGGGTGGGGAACAAGCTGTCCAGCCATGTTGATGAAGCCGATACCCTGGCCTCTCTCTAGACACAGCTGGAAGAGATCCTCCAGTCAGGACAGGAGGCTCTTCTTTACACAGAAGGTGGTGGGGGTGGGGAACAAGCTGCCCAGCCATGATGTGTAAGCAGACACTCTGGCTTCTATCCAGACACAGCTGGAAGAGAGCCTCTGTTCAACTGGTTACCGGTTAGCTAAGGGGCTCGAGGGGCTGAATGAGGGGCTGAATGGCCTCCTCTCCTTTGGTCACTGTTCTGCTTCCGAGAGACTCAGATATCAGCAAAGGGACTCGTGCAGAGGCTGGGTTAATTAAGTACCGGCAGCGCGGGCCCACTGCTTGCCGGGACAGGCTCTGGTTCCCAGGCAAACCTGAACTGGATAAAGCAGTTAGAGAAAGGACAGATAAATACATACTTGGAGGTGTTAATGTAATCTTCCAACTTTTCTGCTCTTCTCAGATAGTCTTCCATCTGTGTCTGGATGTGTTTTATGTTCTCCTAGATAAACAAAAATGACAATGTTAGACTTGAAGCATGATCAAGGCACCACAGAAGCCAATACTAATCATTATTGTCGCATTTGGGTGAAACTGAAGAATGAATGAAAGCTCATGGATCAGAAGAGGCTACTCAGCAGTTTGCAAATCCATGAACACTGAAGCTCTTTTATGTAGAATATGTAAATGGCAAAATAGCTGTTGAAGATTCGCTGGATTTAACAGGCTTGCCTGAATTTTAAGTAGGGGTAATGTAAAGCAAATAATGAATAAATATCTCCTCCATCTAGCACCTTTTAAAAATACTGAAGTCATAACATTTGCATCCCAATCTTGGGAGTCTTGAAGAAAGCTCCTGTCTACTTTAAGCTCGGCTGGCTAGAGTGGAGCCGTTCGCACGAAGCACGAACGTCCCGTTTCTCAACGCTTTTATACAACATACCTTGATTTAACTAAAGAAATAATAAACAAGCAGCAACACAAAACCAGGGACGCATTACGAGTTCGCCTGCAGCACACATGGATCGGTGAAACCCTGTGAGTAGCTAAAATGCTCACTATGTGGTTGCAGACGTTAAGCAATACTGCAATGCTGTAGGTGAATAATCCTGCTCGCTAGAACATAGTTTGTTAAAGTATATGCTTCCTCTTCCTAATTCACTGCATACTCAACGAGTGGTTTTAGTTAACTCCTCTAGAGT